AGGGGATGATTTAAATGTATCATCAATAAACCAGTGACATTGTTCGGATGATATTATTTTCAAATTTTCGTCCGTGAAAAATAATAGAACCCGATTATCATTACCAACACCACTGTCATAGTTCATAAAGAATGAATGGATCATATGGCTCAATAAGAATCAATTCTGCTAGAGTTGAAGGATTTGATGGAGGAGCATTTTTTCGACGTCTGATTGTCTGACATTGTGATAACTAAATCAAATTGAATTGAACTGGAATATGTCTGACGGTGAAACGGTGACGGGGAAATGTCCGACGGGGAAACAGAGACGGGGATCTGACCTGCTACGGTTCTCTTCACGGTTCAATGGGTTACATTTCGTGAAAGTAAAAACCGGTGGAAAGAAAAGATCACTACATAATATATAGACTGATACTCTGGGAGTGAAAAGCGATGAAAAAGAAGAATGTTTATAGATACCTAAAGTTGAGTACCAMAAGATTTGGGTTTCTTATAAATATTCATCTGAAAAAGAATTTGAGTCAATAAAAAACTATATCTCTGCCTATAGTGTAACCAAGTATCTCATATATATACTAAAAACGAATGGCTATTCGGAAACTTGGGATTTATTTTTTATTATTTATAAAGTTTTCCTGACAAAGTCATCTAAACTTAGGTATAATGTACAAAATTYAATAGATTTAAGATAGTGTTACAAGCAATGAACGATATACAATAGAATTTTCATTGAAGATAATCTAATTTAGGACGTCATGAAGACGACCACGTTTTAGTCTTCGATTCATGGGGCCGACATTTAACCCGAAATGTTGTGGACCGCTTGTTTTGCGTAGATGAAAGAAGAAGCTTGCCGATAGATCCTTTATGTCATTCTTAATTATTGTCGGCGTGCAGCGCATCGTTTCGAACAAACTATGGAGCATTTGAAATCACACGGAGGACTTTGGATTGAAGAACTTGGATTTTATTTATATGAGTTGAAGCACATTGGCCCCAGACAGGGACAGCGTATAGCAATAGAGAACGAATGATTTGTTTGTATAGTAGTAATGAACACTTCCAGTTCACTAATGTTTGCCGATTTATTATAATGGGTATACAATTTTTAATCGTTGGTAACCTTGTTGTATTTTGGAGGATATATATGTGGGTTCCAGCCGTTCCAGGTACCTAAGTTTTTTGTCCAAAATTGTATGTCATGACACCATGGTATATTTTGTCCGTTGATTTTTAAGGAATGGAAACTCGGGAACCACCGCTCAAGTGCATGTCGAGTTGTTCAGATGTACTTTGAGTAGGTTAGGTTAACCTACTCGCTTAGAGTGCCTATACTGTCTATACTAGCATGCCTGTAACATTATAGAAATGGAATMGCATTTTGAGTCAAGACTTAGGAATATGACATGATCTCACGGTTCCATTTTCCACTCTAAATCGGATTACTAAAACCACTGAAACAATAGAAAAAATATTATGATTGATACAGTGAAATAGTCGTAAACACAATTCAAGAAACACTTAGGTTTATAAAATAATTAATATAGTGTTATTATTTTTTCAATCATAATCGTAAGTCATAAATCTAGTCATAAATGTGCAAGTAAAACAAATAGGAACAAGGTACCTATGTTATTGTGGTCGTGATTTGGATAAGCATTACTTACATCTTTTATTGTCTGAAAGCGGGGACTATGACATGATATTTTGTGGTGGGTTGTATACATAGACCAACATTAATCGATACATAAGAACTTTTAAACACATATTAAGATTTTTACAAAAATAAAAATGAACAACATTTTATAATACTCTTTTTTTACTACCTACAATATCAGTAACATATTGAAACATTTTAATTTCATAATCTTGTTAAATAAATAATAATTTATACATTTTAAATCAGCATATTTTTTCTGGGTTTCATGCATTCAAAACAGTTTCGGTGTTATTCTGATTGAATAAATCTTTTTCAGTGTTCAACAAAGATAAATAACAAATTATATTATACGACCAAATGGCAAATAGTTATACATTTTTTCAGGAAATTTCCCATCGGTTAAAAACATAAAATTCATGGTATTTCACTAAAATAATAATAGTTAGATATAAAAAACAGGGGGTGCTAAGGACCTTTTTGCACTCCCCTAGTTGCGTCACTGCTCCTCTCTCGCCCATCTTGCGAGTAGAATGAATTTGTGCTGAAATGTCAATTTGTTTACTTTAGGGAAACGGTGGCCAGAGAAATAACAAAAAGTGTTGAACRGAAATTGAGTGTAACAGACAACAGTGGTGCCAAATTTCCA